TTACTCACTCATGTAGCTCCTAATACTATGAATAAACCATTAGGCATTCTGAAGAATAACGGTGGCATAAACCCAAGAGAGACAAGAAGACAGATGTGCACTAGTGTAACCTAATGCATTTGAATTAACAATCTCAACCTACAGTTTCATGGATAGTTCACTATTTTAATGACAAAAATTTTCTTTTTGGTTGCCTGATGCAACTGGCTTCCAGCCTTTATGAAGCTGAGTTGGAAGTATAAATAGCAACAGAAAAAATGGGAAGCAGCATGCTTCAGGGGTCAATATATTACCATTCCTTACAAATCTAAAGAACTCTGTACTGATCTTACCAGCCTGAAGTCATGATATACCGTTGATACTAGTAACATTAACAACAAAAAAATCTTACAATGAGACACTTTGGATATGATTTTTAGAAACCCTTCGCAGCTACATTTTTTAGGAACAAATATTGTGGTTGCAAGTAACTGGGATTGCAATTGATGCCACCTAGAGTTTAACTACAAGACTAAATCAATAAATCAGGTAGGCTGATATTTACATGATTTATTTGTACCTGGCAAAACTGGAGCTGCAAAATAGAAGGTCAGGTTCTGATCCCTTTCAAAAAATCATGTCCTTTATTGAGCTGTTCATTTTAGGGATGGAAGATTACATAGGGGCAAGCAGCATATTTCAACACCATAGTTGAAATGCTGGTACTAGAGCCAGAATGGAAGTGACTGACAGATACAGATCTCTCTCATTCGTGGTGCTTCATGGGTAAGACAACAACAAAGCAGAGGTAACCTTTTATGCTTATTTTAACTCTGCCTGGGGAATGATGATAGTGATTATTGTTTTGGTTGCAGTAAGTGTACAAGGTGCTGTCTAAACAGAAACAAAGTCATGATTCTTATTCTGAAGTGTGTATGACAACGTGCTCAGCCATCTCAAAATGTTAGAAAGAAACAGAAATGTCTTGGAATTGAGTTCAGAAGTCTGTATTCTACTGACAGCTGGAAGTGGATCCAAATCTCTTTTGCATTTGTTTTAAAGGGCTCTCTGACCCTCCCACTAACGAACTACTAGAACTGCGAAACATGGAACATCTTTCCAGAGCTGCAAGACACTATCCATTCTGTGGCTAACCCCCTGAATTATGCAAGTCTCACTGCATCTGGGGAATCATTTGCAGCTCTGCATAAATGTAAAAAACTAAAGATTTTAGTGATTTAACTGGGGAGAAAATACCACCACCTGACAGAACCCCTCTGCTAGTTCATCTGGCATTAAATTCCATTTATTTTACTCAACCCCTGACATGTTTCATGTGCTGCAGAGTTGAATACTGGAAATGCATTAACTGTATTATAAACATTGGCAGGTGGAAGCTAGAGGTTTTTGCAGTTGAAGCCCCCACACCCGTTTTTTTAAGACCTGGGGAGATCTGGGAAGCCCTTCTAGTTTGTGGAATGAGCACATCAGCTGGATGTCAATATGATCAGCAGTTAATATGCTGACGAACAGATTGGCATCATTACATTTCAAAGTCAACATGGAAATGAATGGGAACAGTTTACATGCCTCTGAGAGCTACTGTTTCAGGGTGTATGCAGACCCAGACAGACATCATTTACATTGGTTATATTCAGTTCCGATTTGGAAAGGTTTCCTTTGCAACCGTAAGTGCTAGAAACTATTTTTTTTTTAAATGAAAGTTTAGATTCTGGAGCATGTTTCTACAGCAAAGGATGGACCCTAGCAAATTCCAACGCGTCAGGAGTGCAGAATACATGGGGCTCTACATGCCTGCATCCAGGGTCCAGTGCAAACCAAAAACTGTATGAGTAACAACCAATGCCTATTCAATTATCTCAACTTGCAAGCTCCTCATATCTTCTTCAAAATCCTTATATTGGAGGTGGTGTGGGTGGGTGGAAGGGTAAGTCAAAGTCTTTCACTTATTGTGAATGAGTTGTTTGTTACCAAAGGTATGTTTTAAGCTCCCCTAAGCAACAGGCTTACAAGGCACAAGGAATGTAAAACTACCGTGAAGGAATGCAACATTTTCTTGACCTTGTAATTCCTATATAATGCGATCTCAGGGTTAATGCTGCACTTTTCTTATTGAATTTTAAGTTCTTTATAAGGAGAAGTTCATTTTGAAACCATAATTTAATATTCCAGAATTTTTAAAAATAAAATGAAACAAAACAAAACTAGTTTGAAATCCAAGGGTCAGCTCTTAGAAGTTACTGTCCATACCATGCAGGAGCTTGGAGACAGCAGCCTCTGCAGACCCCTGTGTCCTCTCCCACACAGAATGGAGAGGTTGAAGCCTGGGCTCTACCCTCTGTGCCCCCATAAATGTGCTAGCCAGCCCAGCTGAGCCGGCGTGTAGTGATCTGTACCTGGTGCAGGGCTCTCACAGATTGTTTCCCTCCCTGGAGCCCAGGGGGAACTGGGGACTAGACTGTGCATTCTGGTCAAGTTGAGAGCTTGTGGCAAAGCTACAAATTGAGCCTTAAGGCAATGCCACCTCCCTCACTGAAAACACGGCCTGCATAACCTCTGTAGCAATGTGCCCTGACAGGGCCATGCTGAGCCCAATGATTCATCATTTTCAGACAATCACTTCCGGTTCTCCCTACCCTTCCTGCTTCTGGAGAGTGACACTGCTGGAAATCAAAGGGTCTAACAACATCAACAAAACAGCAGCAACTATTTTTAAACAGCGCGAAGAGATGGGTTTAAAAATATCAGCTGCAATACCCCTCTCAACCTCCAACCCGTCACGTGGAATACAGATAGCTCTTGTCCACAATAGCCTTTTCTTTTCCCCGACCCTCTTAAAATCTCCCTCTGCCACTGGGGCAGCTCCACCAGTGGTAGTAACTAAAGGGGCGCTGGTGCAGATAAGTCTCCAGTGGCATTTTAACTGCTGTGCTGTCTAGACCTGCTGAGCAGTGCTAAACGAACCAGTGATTAAAATGCCGGCAGCCCTACTTACGCTGGCACTCCTTTTATGGCACTTACCGGCAGAGCTGCACTCGTCGTATTGCAACTTTAAGGGGAAAAAAGTCTTGTGCAGGCACAACCACAGGAAAAGAAATGTGACGTAAAAAGATGGCATGAATGCTTTTCAGGTCATAACTCCAATTAAACCATATCTAGCTGGCTTCTCAGGGTACGTTTCTTAGAATAGTGGCAAGAAGCCACGGTGAAAAATGATTAGCATAGGGCAGAAACAGACCCCTTCTAAATAAGCAATTCCCTCCCTCAAGTCACCATTCCCAAGAGAGAAAGGGGGAAAAAAAATTAATTTGCATCAGACATGAAAATTTATCCACCAAGATTAGGAAACCACAATGGGAAGTCATATATAAAAGACCAAAATTATTTCAGAAAAAAACAGGAGAGACCAAGTTAATCTCAGTACCCGGTGAACTAATCAGTCACATGCCCTGCTCACTAGGATCTTTATGGAACTCAACGTCAAACTGCTGACTCCAGTGACTTTTGGTTTTTTGATAAGTAGGGGTTACAGGGAAAGGAACAGATGTTAAGCCTCATTGTTCAATTATATCCAGGAGAAAAACAAAGCAAACTTCATTCTGGAGGTCAGGGCGCTGCCTCAGAGTTACAACATTTCATTTGAAGCATTTACCTTCCTGAGCAGCTAGTTCTATAAAATTCAACTTTGCTGTTCGTTTTGCCCAGGACCAAATCTCAAAAATATGAAGATACCAACCTGTGAGTGCCTGAAAAACACATCGTCATTTTCATTTTCTTTGCTATGAAAAAAAAAAAGGAAACAAAAATAAACCAGACCTTCTCATAGTGAAAGCAAACAAACTTTTGTACCCTCCACTTTGTATACTTTGGCTACCATTGCCAATGCCGTCTCTTTTAAAAGGGTTGGAGTGTGCTTGCTATTGCTTGTAAATACAGTAAATATGTGATACTCAGTGTCACAGCACTCTAAGCTACTATCCCATCCATTTTGCTTCCTCTTAGAAGCTATTTGTGGAAAATATAATGGAATTAAATTCTGCTGCCCTTAATCCAAACAAATTCACATCTCCCAACTACAGCGATGGAGTAAAATTCTCCTTACTCAAGCAAAGCTGAGTGATTGGGCTCTATGGGGGAGGAAAATGAAGTGCAGAAAAGGGGGTTGGGCTCCCCAAACTTGGGGCCAGGGAGCTGGGCTAAAGTGCATCAGTTGCCCTTCTGCAGCAGTTGCCTTGGGGGGGGTGTTGGAGTTTACAGTACCCATGAAAACACAGATCCTGGGGCCCTTCTCCTGGCCTGCCCATCTCCCTACCCTCCATGCTATTCTGTGTGGCATGGGGGCCGAGCCCCTTTTTGGTATACAAGAAAGGGCCGAGCCTTCCTGCAGAGCCTCTCTCCTCTCTACACAAGTCCAATGTGGGGCTGTGGTGATGAAGCCCCTCTGCAGCAAACTGAACGTCACCCCCATGGACTACTGAGGGTCTGTCTGTACAGCAGATGGGAGCGTGCTTCCCAGCGCAGGGAGACAGAAACACGCTAGCCCTGCTCGAGCTAGCACACTAAACGTAGCAGCGTAGCCACGGTAACAGGGGTGGCTCAGGCTAGTGCCCGAGTACACACCCACCCAGCACCTCTGCATACCCATGGGGTGGCTAGCCCGAGCTAGCCCATTACCCACGCTACAGTGCTATTTTCGGCAAGCTAGCTTGAGCAGAACTAGCAAGCGTCCGTCTGCTTGCCCTGGGAAGCACCTCCCAGCTGCAGTGTGGACGTACCCTAAGAAACAACAATCACATCACATAGAGCCACTTGGAGAGCAAAACGTAAGTTATAAAAGTCACCTTTCGTCAGACAAAACCTCCATGTCATCAGGTCCTGCTCTGGCTATCGGCCTTGAGGAGCTAAAGCTTTCCATACTCTGTAACACAGCAAATTTTAAGACAATAAGTTAGATAAAAGGAATAATAATGCTGGAGGCCATTACAACACCGTATCCAAACCAAGTACTACACAGAACAAGGGGACAATCACGGGTCTTTCATAGAATTACAATTTAAAAAAGCATGCTTCACTATCCATTTCCTGCACTAAAAACAACAGCATGGCACTAAAACAAGTGCCCGTCACCAGAAGCCCTTAAAGTGTTTCACAAAGAACAGTTTGTGAGGCTAGGGTTCTTGTCCCCATTTAACAGACTGGAAAAAAGAATAAGAGAAGGGCAAATCTCTTAACAAGCTGTGGAAGAGCTGGTAACAAAATCCAAGACACCTGTCACCAGCCAATCCTATGCTTTACTCACTAAATCACATTCATATCAAGAATTTTAAGGTGAAAGCAACCAAAGTAATAGAGTTGCCTCAAAACACATTTTAATGACAGCACAGTTTGTGTTTGACTCAGGAAGAATTATAAAGTGCCTCTTCTTGAAAGAGGAAGAGACTAAGGATGAAAAATGATTACTGTATACATGGAGGTTACGTAAACTACAACAACATGAGTACAGGACAATCACTTACAGAATCTTGATTTGAGGTTTGCTCTGGTCATCAGCTATAAGGAATATTAATGATGTCATTCATCTCAAGCTTGAAAAATTATGAAAAGAATCTGAACTCTGATCTATCCTGGTTCACTTGTGTAAAAAAGGCTTATAAATGACCTGTGTCAGTTTTATAGACATGATTTCATTAGACATTGGTTATCCCAGCCACTGACCATAAGTCTGTTTGTATCTCTTACCAGTCTCCAAGCTAAATTCTAAAAGGCGCACAAAAAAACGGACAAAAAATGGGTGCACAAAAAGACCCACATTTGGACACACAGCACATACAGAGTCATGGCATATGCAAATGGCTAATTATGAACACAAGATACACATGTCAGATTTTACAGGTGTAACTGATGTGAAAATCTAACTCAATTTGAATGAATCAGAATTTTTTTTAACCTTCCATCACACAAGGTCAAGTCACATACTCTATACTTGTAAGCAACACACGTAGTTCACTTTCTTTCTGCTGAATATATCTCACCTCTATAGTGTCTATAAAAACAGATAAATGAGAGGGACTGGGGAAAGCAGACATATGTGAGCAAGTCCTGTACACACTTGAGTGTCTGCTTATTGAAAATTGTTTTCCTACTGAGTTTCTTTCAAACTGGAAGCATGTTTCAAAATCGCCTATAGTCTCTTACTAGATACGTTGAATATGGCCATTTCATGCATGCGAGTACAATTTTTCAGTTCTTATGTTTGGCTATGTCTCCTTCCCGGAAGGCAGCCTTCAGTGGTTTGAAATAGAAGAAAAAGCCCTCTGTCAGTGCATCAGAGTGCAGTTCCTGAACAAGACTACGTGAGAACAGAATTCCCAGAGCACTCAGAGACATTCATGGTATGGAACTCCCTTCTCTTTAAAATCCAAGCAGATGTGTTCTTTTGGCTACACGATTCCAACAGCACAGTCTAGTTATGCTTCAGCATTGCCTTAGGAGCCTCTTCTGATCTCATTTTTATGCCTGGTCATCTTGAATTTTAGCAGTTTAAATAAAAACGGGGCATAACAAGTTTTAATGTTTATTATTTGGTTTTGCTTAGGAGGGTTAATTGAAGAGGATTTCTCTTTGACTGTCCCTTCACGCTCTGGGTCAGATGCTACTGAGCAGATAAGACAAGAGTTCCCCCACAATTCCCTACTAACCACTTCAAGCTTCACTGATGGGGTGGGAAGAGTTAAGAGAAAATGGGAAAGAGGATGTTGTCTGAGTGCTCCTGGAGCAGAAACTGTCTCTTAGGGCTTTTCTACAGAGGAAAGTTATATCAGGATAAGCTAAGGTAGGATCTTAAATCTGTATAGTTATACCAGTGCAGTATAACCACTCGTGTGGACACCCTAATTCTGGTATAAGAGTACCTTTTTCGGTTTACCTTACATCATTTGGAAAAGGGTTTATGGTAAACTGAAAAAAAGTCACTCATATACCAGAATAAGAGCATCCATATGGGAGGTTATACTGGTATATCTATCTATAATGATGTAACTGGACAACAGTGTTTAGACAAGGCCTTACTATGTATCTATACTTCACCAAGAACAATAGGGCCTTCATCCTGGCTGGGTCTCTGGGCACTACTGCAATACAAATAGGAAATAAATTACATTCGTAAAAGAGAGTTCAGTCGCCATGCCAGCTCAAGCTGCATCTTAGGGTCCACAGGAGCAGTAACTTATGAGTATACGTGCGTGCTCTGTGTACGATGGGAGATGCAGTTCTCCTACCTATTTTCCAAGCAAGTTCCTGGGCAATGTCCTGTTGGTAGAGGCTGCCTCTCTACAGCTGCATCCTATACTATGTGTATTTTGTGCATTCTGACTTGTGCTTTCCTTAAACTGTCACAGAAATATTCCTCCTGTTTCCATTGGACAGTTCCACTGAGATACACTTTCAGCCACACCACATGAGGTAACAACATGCCTGGCCACGCCTCATAGGTGTGCTCCAGGTAGGATCTGTGCAGCCAGTGTACGAATCCTGACCTCCAGCAGCTCCAGAGTTCAGAGAAGGGCCACAGAAGGGAAATGTGTAAGAGACAGATTATAGGCAATGCAATTTGATGGCCCTTCATTTGAGAGTGGTTAGAGCAGTAGTCACCAACTGGTCGATCGCGATCGACTGGTCGATCCTAGAGGATCTCCCAGTCGATTGTGTTCTCTGGTGGTGCAGCGTGGCTGCCGCTAAGACAGACTCCCTACCCTGGCCCCATGCTGCTCCTGGAAGCGGCCAGCGCAGGCCCAGGGGCAGGGGTCTCCCTCTGCACGCTGCTCCTGCCTGCAAGCACCACACTGCGAACCCCTCGGCCCCAGCCCAGAGCCTGCACCCCCCTCCCGAACCCCAACCCCAACCCCCTGCCTCAGCCTGGTGAAAGTGAGTGAGGGTGGGGGAGAGCAAGCGACGGGGGGGGGGGGATGGAGTGAGCGGGGTGGGGTCTCGGGGAAGGGGCAGGGTAACTCATGGGTTGCCCTTAGATTCAAAAAGTGATCTTGGGCGTAAAAAGGTTGGAGACCACTGGGTTAGAGCCTCACCAACCCCTCAACCCCAAGGTATTCAGTCAAGTAGGTATTTTGGCAGTCTTTCCTTCTTAAAGGCCACATTCTGGGCCAGATTCTCATTTACACTTCACTCTGGAAGAGTGAAGGGGCCTGAATGGGGACATCAGAGTAATGTCCTCCCACTTTCAGGCCCCTTTACACTGCCAGAGTGGTATTAAGGGGCCATAGTGTAAAAGCAAATCAGGCTCTCAGTGGCACTTCAGTGGAAGTTGCACATGTGTCTCCAGAGCCAGGACATGGCCCCACGTCTGCAGAAACTAATTTGCTTTACATTTATTTAAAAGAAAAAGAGAAATATTTCCAATGTTTGTGGACGGTCACCATACCACCCATTAACGCAGTAATGGGAAGCAGAAGAAGAATCCCCCACTAAAGAAAATGATGCGGTCTTCTCCATTAGAGAGGAGGAAAGGAGGCATCTGCACATACTGTCCCACAGGGACGCTACTGCACGTCAGTACTTGCCGCCAGAGGGCAGTTAGCTCTACTCTGGCCAATTACTTTGGAATTATAAGTATAATTGTAAGTACAAGAGGGTCTTTTTTGGATGGGGGAGGCTCCTTGCATGTTCCCCACCTCCGGAAAACCCACCAAAGAGCAACTTGCACTCTTGGCCCAAACGCTGAAATCTGTCTCGTGCAGCAGCTCTAAGGGTGCAGACATTAAATGTCTATTATATGCGATCGGCTACTGATGCTTCGTGTTGAATCGAATACATGGAGCCTATGATTTCTCAGTTTCTTTCCTTCATTTTATCAATACCATTTCTATCTAGCACACAAAAGAACCCAACTCATTCTCTCATTGGTATCCGTGTACATTTTAGACTGATAAATAACCACGGTTGTGTAATCTAAAACAAGTGTGCCAGAACACGATGTACTTTTTCAAAACAAACCTATCACATTTCACAGGCACTCACCTATACGAGACTTTGGAACTCAATCAACAACAACCAGAGAAAATATTCCACAGCTGGCAAAGCCTACTCTTTTCTCAGGGTATTGTAATGCTACCAGTGGTGCTAAAAGTTTGTGATGTGCCAGCTATCATATGGCATTGCATGCCTGTCTTTATCAAGGGCCCAAGTTGAAAGACACTGTAGGTTCTAACTGCTAGCACAACATTTGGTGCCTGTGTTGGCTATAGGGGGAAGGAGATGTTGCATCAGCAATTTTTGCGGTTTGTCACTGTGGGCAAACTGTCTTCTACTGGGAAGGTCAAACAGGGATCACAAACATGCTGTGATTCAAAACAAAAACACTGCAGTTTAAACCCGTGTCTTCTATAGGCTGTGGTACATTGCAAACATAACTGGTGCATTTTCAGTCAAAAGGTGTGATGTATCTACATTGATCACCTTTCATCCTAAAGGACTTCAAAGCATTTTGCAGAGTGTATGCATACAGCACCACTGAAATGCAGCCACTGCTGGAAGGGAGGACAACCACCAAACTGACCCACTGATAATGCCCCTGGCACTCACTCACTACAAACAACACACTGATGAGCTACATTGTGATGCAAAACTATCGGACAGAATTAAAAAAAAGAAACCCCCCCCCCACACCAGCGGATGGTCCAACCTGTGAGGTGCTGAACAGTCTCAATCCTACTAAACTCATGCAGGGTTGGGGACAAATTTCACTTCCTTACTCTATTTTTGAAACCATATTGTTTTGCTTTACTAAAAACAAAAATAGCTATGTGTAGACTAAGAGGGTCAAAGTGTGAATTTGGCCCTTCTGTAACCACAATGCACTTGTTAAAAGTGTAGGGCCTGATTCTCCATGGCCCTAACCAGCCATTTACATCTGTGCAAAGTGCAAGTGATTACAGCTGTGTAGATGGCGACACAAGGTACAAGGCAGTGGAGAAGCGTGATGCTTGCTTGTGAGTCAGATGCTCTTTCCCAACATGACACTGACCCTCTCTGCAAGTGGTATGGCATGTTCGCTTACCACAGGGCTATCCTGGTTATCGTTAAGCTCAGAAAGTTTAGTGCTGGATTTCTGCCGTTTTGGTTTATTCCTTTCTCCAATATACCCGGAGTTGTTTTCTTGTAATTTTTCTACTTCCTGAGGAGTCAGAATACAATCTTCAAGGTTTCCAAATCCAGAAGGAATGTTTTCTTTGTTGATGACCTCTCTGAGGAAGGAAAATTACATTGCAACAAAACTGTTTTTTAAAAACACAATCCTATTGCATTTATGCTACTGGCAGAGAAATGCATTATGCTGACTGGTGCAGTTCTGGAATTGTCTCTTAAACCCCATCTGCGTTTCATTCTATTGCAAGAAACACAACGCAAGCTGCGACATCCTAAATCCCAACAAGGAGTTAAAAACAGGTGCACTACATCGCATGAGAAAACATGGTGATTAACACTGGGGACCTGATCCAACTCCCACCAAAGTCAGTGGAAAGAATGGATCAGCTCCTGGATGTACTAGTTATTTTTATAAGGTTATGCGAGTTAACTTTCCCAGAGACAAATGTTTGGGGTTTTTTTTTTTAGCAACTAACAACTTGTAATAATTTCCGGTATAAACTGAAAGCAGAATTTGGGCATGGCTCCCAAACCTACTGTAACTCAGCCCTTTACCCAAGTTTGCAGGGTAAGAATGCATGAGGCATTTCCACTGCACACTCGTTTTCTTTTCTTTTTTGGGGAGGGGGTGAGGGAGTGATCAGTAACAGAGAACGGGATGGGAATGAAAGTGCCTCATCAACAATAACTGCACTGCTGTGATAGAGAACTGTGTGATTTGTTGTGCTGCATGGAAATGTGTTAGCTTGCTTAAATGCTTCTTATCTGACACTGCGATAAATTCCTGTTTGTCTAGTCAGATCTGTGTGTTTTCCAGAAATGTCATCTATGCTCATCTTTGCCTCCTTGCTTAGGAGGGTGGAAATCTTCTGCTAGCTCCCCTTCCCTGCAGTCGTTCTTCTGCAGTGCCACTCCTCTGCCCTTTTTAATAGGTATTTTTTCTATTATGTGCAATAACAGAGACACTTTCAAAAATACATACATCACTGTATTTCTTCTATTTGTATATCGATATGTATTTCCTTCCTCCCAACCTCTATGCTCCCTTAGGCTAAAAGCCAGAGATGGAAGGCTGGAATGGAGGGTAACAGTTGTAAGCATCCACAGCAGTTTTGTACAGAGAGGCACAAGGCTCCAGTTCTGCTTTCAGTAACATCCGTGAAGCTGCTCTAGAGTGGCACTGGTGTAAATGAGAGAGGAGGATCTCACCCTGAAGTGTTTGGCTAGTCCTCATGAGGGAGAAAGTATTCAGATTTTTAAAAAATGCTCTAGTTATTTTCTAGGTCACAAGTCATTTCTATGTTTTGTCTCTGGAAAAGGTAGATGACAGAGAATTATAAATCTCTGGATAAAGCCTATCAGACCCATTTAACTTTGTGCAATTGTTATTTTTAAACCACTGAGATGTGATTCATTACATTTAGACGGTAGGTCATGTGGTGTGCAAAATGTAAGCCTATGCATATGTTTATGCCATAAATATTATCCCAGCTGTATGCTGCCACTGTATTGTGTAGCACCATGGGTCTTCTTTAGATCTGTGTCCAGACAGCAAAGAGATAAAGCCAGCCAAAATCAAAACGATCTCAAATGAAATTTTCAGTTTTCCACAATTTCCCATAACAGATCCCAGGACAATTTATCCCTCTGAAACCATAGAAATGACCTGATTTCTCAGTGCCATTAAGTTAGGACTTTTGATTTGCTTTAAATTAATGTCTGGGGCTTTGGGGTCAATCCAGTACTGAAGAGTTAACAGCTAAATGGGCTAGAAAGCACTAACGGCAAATATACAATGCAATGCAGAGGCTGTGCAGAAAAAACTGCAGTGCTATATATGCCGCCAAACACGTACACTAGCCCGCTTCTGACCTACTTACCTGACAAGCCAGTCAGAAATGCTTTTATTGCAGTTACATTTCTCTGCTATGTTAACATTCCACATTTACCCTAAGTCGTGGTGTATTCTCCATCACTGACCATTTTTAAATCAAGACTGGATGTTTTTCTAGAAGACATGCACTAGGAATTATTTTGGGGAAGTTCTATGGCCTGTATTATACACAATGGTGAACACAATGGTTCCTTCTGGCCTTGGAATCTATGAATCTATATTCCTGGATGTCAAGTAGCATGGATTACAATTTTTGAGCCTGGGTGCCTAAAGTTAGGCCCCCTAAATAAAAGTGGCTTGATTTTAAAAGATACTAAGGCCTGTAGCTCCAGTAAGATTTGTTGGTGTTCAGCAGCTCTAAAAATAAGGTAATTTTTATAAAGGCACCTATAATATGTATTTAAGAGCCTAACTTTAGGCCCTCAATTATGCAAACACTTATGCACATGCTTAACTTTAAAATGACTACTCAATTGTTTAATGTTAAACAGACGCGTAGATGTTTGCTAGATCAGGGCCTCAGTTTAAAAATGTTGGCCATAGTATACAGTTGTACTCAGTTACTGCCCTACCAAAAAAAAGAAATATTTCAATTTCCCCTCACACACCCATACTACACATTATTGGGATTAAGTCTTCTATATATGTATTTTGAAACAGTTTAGACTGTGCAAACATCTTGCCCATTTAAAAATACTTTTTATTTGCTAAAAGTAGGGAAAGGTAACATTTTCCCTTTCAGTAAAAAAATCCTTAGATCTGTGCGTGAACACCACCTCTATTCAGAATGCAATGGTGACACATCTGTATTATATGCTGTACGTTATCAGTAGGAATACTATGTATGACTAATTCTTGAGAGGCATTTAAAAAAAGCTGTCTCAAAATACTGTTTATCTGTCTTATAACCACTTAGACAAAAATGGTTTATTTTTGATCAATAAAAGGGGCACGTTCTTCTCTCAAATGCACACACGGAGCACTGCAAAATCTGAACAGAAGCTGTCTTTCTACATGTGAAACTAGAATTTGGTCCAAATTTTGTAGCTGTTTTGTTATACAAAAGGATTTGAAAGGGTTATTTTTTGTCCAGCATTAAGTTACAAATGCCAAAACTGATTTTTTCAGGAGTGTTACTGTTTCCAGATACATACAATTAAAACAAAAACTGAACACTACTTTTAGGCTGACCCCTTCAGCCCATTCCGCTGTGTAATGACCACAAATCAAGGCCCTGGTTCTGCAGTTCACAGCTCCAAGTAAGTCAGTGGAGCCTGGCACAGGTGCAGCCAGGGCCGGCTCCAGCATTTCCGCCGCCCCAAGCAAAAAAAAAAAAAAAAACAGGGGCGCGCGGCGGCGGCAATCGGAAAAAAAAAAAAAAAAAAAAGCCGCGATCGGTGGCGGCAGTTCAGCGGCAGGTCCTTCGCTCCCAGAGGGAGTGAGGGACCTGCCGCCCCGAATTGCCGCAGGTGCCGCCTCTCTCCCTTAGCCGCCCCAAGCACCTGCTTGTTAAACTGGTGCCTGGAGACGGCCCTGGGTGCAGCAGTCACTCCATACACGCTCAGTTGCAGAACTGGGGCCAAGGCTTGTAATAATGGAACTACTGACGGAGTCTTGCCTATTTAATGGGTGTGATTATGATGCTATCAACTAAATATAATTTTTAAAGGAAAAGAAATCATGAACATACACGTCTCTGTTTCGTCGGCCTTCATCTTGTTCTTTGTGATGCCGCCTCCTCTGCCTGGTGGACACATTTGAAGAGGCTGATGATGTTCCTGATTCAGAGTCCTCTGAACTCTGCCCACCTGAGCCATGAGCATCAAAGAGATGCTGTTCCACTGCTGAGCGGATTGTCTTCTCTAAATATCTGTCAAGATGAAAAATAAGGTCAATTAAACTTACAAACTTACCAGGAAACCTCTCCCTTTTTAAAAGTCACAATTTTTTAATAACTGCAGTAGTGTCAAAAACATGTTAAGGATGGTACAGATGCATGGCAACACATCAGCTAAATTGTTCAGATGTGGGTGACTAAAATGGGGACTCACCTAGAGCAAAGTGACCCAATTTTCAGAAGCGCTGAGCACTCTCGGCTCCCATTACCATCAACGGCTGTTATGGCCGCTCAATACTTCTGTAAATGAGTCCATTTTTATGTAGGTGCCTAACTGGAGCCCCCCAAATTAACAGACCCTAGCATGAAGAGCTTTAGTTTGAAACGAGAATTTAAGATTCAAGTGATTAGACAATCCATACTAAGATAACAGGGTCTACAGTTTTTTAGTGTGTTTTAAAATTCACTCCCATTTCTGGGGAGGGAGGGGGGGAAACTGGGGGTGGTGGTGGAAAGAGGGCTACAACATGGGAAAAACAAGAATCACCTCGTGCTGGGTGACCCACAACAAACAAACCCAGGGTAGGGGGGTTGCTTTAGGTTTGGATAGCTGGTGCATGCATGATGCAAATATGCACAAACGGCCCTGCGTCATCCCTTCTCTCACCTGCTCTTCATGTACTGACCCACAGCGCGGGTGGAGTGGTGTGTATGGGTGGGGAACAACACTTCTCACAGCTCCCTGGTGCACTGGCAGAATGTTCCTGCTGCCCCTCCACTTCCGATGGTGCAGTGCACTCCCCTCACTGCACCTGACCAGCACTGCTGGCCTGGATAATGTGAGGCTGGGGCTATATGCCTCCTCTTTAACGTGCCCCCGTCCTTTTGGGGTGACTGACTCCCAGTGGAGCTAGGAGGGAGCAGTCCCTTGTGACAGCGTGCACAGGCTGCAACTGTGATTGGCCCCTGTGAAAGGCCTGCCAGAAGGAAAGGCTCTTTGAAGTAAGGACCTTAAGTGACCTATAGATAAAGGCCATGAACGTGTGTGCAGCAAGTTCTTTAATAAGTGTATGTTAAGGGCATGCTGTTGAAAGCGTGGTTAGACAAGTTATCAGGGTGAATGCTATTCATATTTACACATCATATAGCTCCACCATCACTGACTAAGGGGGAGATTTTCAAAGGCACAAAGGGCACTGAAATGGAACCTGGGTACCCAACTGTTCATTGTGCCTTTGCCCATCTCCTCCTAAATACACAGAAGTCATTCTAACATTTGCACATCTTTCAACAGAAATCATGCCAATGCCAATAATCAATTCAAAGAAGGCCCATTTTCATTTCGGTAATATTCTTTTAGCTAGAATTGCTGCTCTGAAATGTATCTTTTTATGTGAACTGGTTATTCACTGTATTTTTTTTTACATGGCCACCTATAAAACTCAAGGAATCCACTCTTATTTAAACTAGATTATGGCATTCAATACCCTCCCTGTTTGTTCACAAGAACAGAGCAGTCAGATAGAACATCTGGATGGTACAACCTCTCTTTGTAACAAAACAAAGCCAGTAGGTCAAATCTGACAATGCCCAGCAGCTTTTACAGTGCTCAGGTGAAACAAAATTATATAAGAAATGGTAGCACCTGTGAGAATGATGAGTGACTACCTCCTCACAAGTATGTCGACCACACAGTAGGGCAACTCATCATAAACTTTACTCGGTTATATATATATATATATATAAAAAAATGCCCAATTCTGATCTCATGCTGTTTTAACTCTGCTGCAACTTCACTGATTTCAATGGAACGACTCCTGTTTGATTCTGGTGTGAGATTGGAATCAGAACTACTGTGAGCAAGAGAGCTTTTATTCACTTCAGTATAGTGATGGAGTCACTGTAGTGACACCAGAGATAAGGTTGTGAGACTGTTTCCCTTGTAAACCTAATTGAATCCTCCCATTCTCACTTTGTGGAAAAAAAGTTCCTTTTTCCTTGAAATTTCTTCTGCTTATTTTTGGGCCAGAGGAGGGTTTGGAGGTAAAGACTGAGATAAATCAGACAAACATTTTTGATACATGACAGTTTGAAAAAAGGAATTTCTCCCCCTGTCCCCCCGGTATTTTGAAAAGTCGTATGCTCTCTGTAACATCATGGCTCACAAAAGGCTTGATTAGAAACTCCAGATTTGTTTCATTCATTCATGTTCAATAACATTTGGCGCACAAAAATGATTTCTTGAGAGAATCTGATGGTTAATTTTGAACGTGTTAGCTATGAATGTGAACCTCTACATGGGCCACGAGGCCACTGAAGAGTTTATAAACTTGTTGCTAACTATTATGGTAGCTGAGTTTGTAAACCCTCAAAAAAAAATCAAATAAAAAAAAATTAGCAATATCATAAAAGTGTATTTTAACTTTGCTAAATGTGTGTGTGTGTGTGTGTGTAAAATATATGGGCAAGAATAAGTTCATATGCCAAAATTTGGGACTTGAATGTCAGGCAGGTAAGGAGACTCTTTACAGCACAGCGAGGTTGTGCTTCTTGAAATCTCTGTGGTTACATAACCGTAACATCCCAGGGGTGTGGGAAAAAAGCAAGGAACTATGACACCCAGGCACTTATTTGAGAGGAAGTGGTTTATGATCACTATACACAATGCACTTTTCTTTGGACAGCACTAGGCTATTACAGAAAAATAAGCGAATAACATTTTTAAAAGCTTAAGTAGACAACAAATGATAGCAACAAAACTTAAAAATAAACAGAGTCACTTACTCTCCAGTTGTAGGAATGTTACTGCTCACTTGGGATACATGGGCACTGTGGAAAGGGAAGAAAGATCTAATTACCAAAATACTGTCACGGTACACCTGAAGGAGAACGTTGGCTTTTCTTCTCTCATTGTCTTTTCTTAGACACTCCACCATCTACTAAATTAATTAAAGGTATGATCTGTCAGCAGGAATTCATGTCCTAGAATTACATACGCACATGACAAGCTTCTGACCCCGACAGAATTTTGACTCACGCTATTAGAACGGACATTTGTAAAAGGCTCGTACACTCAGAATTGGATTGCTTGTCATTTACTACCAAGAGACTGCAGTAAAAAGGAAGGTATGTTAGCGATAGCACATTATGATTCTTCTCTGCCTGAATATTCTGCAGCTGTAGATCACACTCAGTTTAATTGAATGAGCTCTGTTCTTTTGAGTCAAGATTTCAAAACGTACACACTATAAACTGACTTAACATTTAACAAGTTTTAAACTACTCATCAGGAAAAAGGCAAAACCTCCTTCCCCAACTCCCCGTTTTTCATGTCCTTGGCTCCTTCTCCACTTTTTAAGTATATTTTCTGTCCTCTCTGTTTGCCTCTCAGTCTGACTCCAGGCTCAGGAAGAGGTAAAATAACCTAATTCTAGCTGTCGCCACTCACTGTTCAAAGCACTTTTAAGTAAGGTGACGTGCCATCCCGCATGGCCATTACTGCTCTGCTCTCTAACTGCAGGGTCAGATTAGATTAGGCCAAAGAAAGTCCCTCCCCTTTCATGTAGCATCAGATTGCTCCTCATGTGTTGACTCAGCTTTGCAGATAAGAGGGCATGTGAGATTTCACTCCTGTTCATCACGCCTACAATATTAATTAAACCAAATAAGTTAGCTTAAACGTTGCATTTGGCTTTATCCTCTTATCAGCAAGAGGATCAGTAGCAGGGTTGCCTGGTGTACTCAGACGTAAATCGACCCTACGTTAGATTACAAGAGGAACTTGTGAAAGTCTTACTCTAGAATTCTAGGTTTACTGTGCCACCCTAATAGAAATTTACTGTTTTTAATCTATACATACAAGGGGCGTCCTTTCAGAAACTTTAATTGCTGATGATTCAACAATTGCTCTATTACTTTAAACCAATCACAGTTTCTAAGGTTTCTTCTATCCCTTCTCTTTAATATTTCCCCCACCAAACAACTGTAGCTTCCCTGCAGAGACCTGATGCTAGCCAGAAGGCTGGAGCACTCATGCTCCTCAGAAGGAAAGCACACTGTCGCTTCGCTGGTAGCAAGTGGTAGGGAGAGGGGGTTGAACTGGTGTGAGGAGGTAAAATAAAAGTGTCACAAAAATCAGTTTAGTAAAGCCACACAACAGCACACGTCTCTACAGTCTAGAGGCTAGAACTACTGCAAGCCTACATGTTGTAGATACGCCAGCATGCTTTTAGTTCCTGCAAGGAATTCAGTGTATCCCCACTAACCAGCTTGGTGTGTGTAAATTAGTGCAGTACATCCACACATGCCACTCCCTTCAACTATGGCTTCACCTGTGCAATCTGACTTCTACCCCAGACACAGTTCCTCAAAGGATTCACATAGCATGAAAGCACATGTATATTTGGCAGTCTATTCCATGTATACATGGATGTTATACCTATATAATACACATACAGTTGTATATTTCCGATTAATACATTTATCATTTGTATCATCTTATTGTATTTAATACAATAAGAGACAGATATAGAGGAAGACTCTCCTCAACACATGTAGGCGATATCTAGGCGATTAATTTAATTTATTACATGGCTCTGCTACTGATCATACATATTTGACCACTTCACCCGCTGTCTATCCACCCACTACTGTCTCTTCCCCTGGAACCTATTGCAGGATTCCTGAACTCCTCAGCAACTTCAAAGAGTTGAAATGTTTCATATTTTTCTTGGAAGGTTTGAATAAATCCCATGGAGAATGGGTTGCTGGGCAGAAGGCAGGTGAGGTACCAAAGTTGCGTAATAAATGTAGTTTCTCACAAATGTATAACTGCCACAAGTGTGGTTGTACTTTAACTTTACATCAAATTTCTGTACTTTCTCATTTCTAATATTTACATACAATACATATCAACACACATATATTCACTTGCCCTTTATCTCATCTCTCTTCGTCCTCCATCCCCAATAAGCTTTCTCTTTCATTTTTTTTTTTTTTTTTTTTTTAAAAGACATGGGGTCTAAAAAGGAGAGGATGCTTAAGAGGAGATTAAACTCAGAAAATAGCATTTTCCTTCACATTATGCCATATAATTCCAGCAAAATTACTGTTGTGTAAAAATGCAAACTCCTGTTTCATGACTGTAGTCTTGAGCTCTTCATTCCATTTGTTTACTGGTGATATTTCACGCTTTGGGCAGAATTTTGAAGGTTTATGGGGGAATGATTATTATTCCCTAAAACTAATTTTTGCCTTTTATCATGTAATTTCATTTAAACTTGGGGAGAAAGGATTATTAGAGCATGCAGTTCTTCTTCTAGGAAAAAAGTAAATAAAAATCAAATGCAAAACAGTGTATAAAATTCCAAACATTTTCATAACCTCCACGTATATTGAGTAGTGATTTTAACCCGTAACAAAACTGACATCATCAACACGGATTCCGTTTCAAGTCTATTAAACCTGCTATTTTCTAATGACACATATACATATGACAATTATTTTGGGGTAGCTATTAAAATATCTACTAAGGGACTGTAGGTCCTATCTGAGAGCTATACAATACTGATTTAAAATTACTTCATGGACATAGAGAGCATGAAGTAAATACACACCCGCCCACCCACCCACCCACCACCACCTGCTGAAGAGAAAGTACTTTAAAAAAAAGCTTCATTAGCCCTTTTAAATTTAGAAACTACCTTTTTCTTGGTCCTGTGATGTGTTAATGCTCTTTACTGGGCCTGTCTCTCAATAATAGTGGGATTTTGAAGGAGAAGTTTTCAGATACACTAAATTTCTTATAATTCCACAGTAATTGGCTTTCCATGCTATTTAAGTTTGAAGCTTAATTAAAATGCACTGCCAAATTGGTTCTATTCTGTACCATGAGCCAGGAAGTTAGGCCATTTTAAAAAAAATATCTTGATGGAGTACACAGAATTATGAAATAGCTTTAGAATGTTAGGCACAAATGGTATGTGTGTATTTCTGACTATGTTAATAACCTCCAGTAAATACATGGAGATATTTAATGAGAAATTCTCAAAAAGCTAACAGCAAAGAAACACTTCTGGTAACAAATTCCTAGGGGTTTGCTGAACTTCTTGGGTGGCTGAAGTCACTTGGTCCTCAGCTTCATGCTTCATAAGGCACCCAAAGGCATGCTATGAATGCCCAAAACACATTACTTGTCATGTCTTACTGCGTAATTAATTGCCTCTAAATAGCAGCTTTGTTCATTAAATCAGTGAAACAATGTGAACTCATGTCCTGCTTGGTTAATAATTTTCTCCTTCTGTGTTTGACGCATTGATATATACAGTCGATTATTTTCATTACACTATACTGTACTTCTACTGCTCCACCCCATGCCCCACTGACATCATTTGGAGAGTTATCCAGTTCTGGGACTTCATGCTCCCTCAGAACCAGCCAAGGCCACAAATTCCTGACAAAAGTCTTGTTTTAAACACCAACCCCTCACTGACCTGCTCCCACAACCCCTTCATACTTCTTTCCCTGGGGGGGGGGGGGGGAGGGATCTGAATCACCAGAGTGCCCCAGTGTTAGCTTACACCAGAGGTGGGCAAACTACGGCCCGCAGGCCATATCCGTCTTGCCTGGCCCCTGAGCTCCCGGCCGGGAAGGCTAGCCCCCGGCCCCTCCCCTGCTTTCCCCCCTCTCTGGCAGCCTCAGTGCACTGCGTCGCCAGCGCTTTGGCCCACCACTCCTGCCGGGCAGCATGGCTGGCTCCAGCTGGGCGGCGGGGCTGAGAGCTCCTGCTGCTCTGAGCAGCATGATAAGGGGACAGGGGGCAGCCGGGCGGGGGGGTTAGATAAGGGGCAGGGGGTTCCGGGGGCAGTCAGGTGACAGGGAGCGGTTGGATGGGGCGGAGGTTTCGGGGGGGGGGGGGAGCAGTCAGGGGACAGGGAGCAGGGAGTGGTTGGATAGGCATGGAAGTCCCAGGGTGGCCTGTCAGGGGGCAGGGATGTGGATGGGGTCGGGGCAGTTAGGGGACTGGGAGCAGGGGGTTTGGATAGGGAGTGGGGCCCCGGGGGCGGTTAGGGGTGAGGGTCCCAGGAGGGGGAAGTCAGGGGACAAGGAGCAGGGGGGGTTGGATGGGTCGGGGGTTTTGAGGGGGGCAGTCAGGAGGCGGGAAGTGGGAGGGGGCGGAGGCCAGGCTGTTTAGGGAGGCACAGCCTTCCTTACCCGGCCCGCCATACAGTTTCGCAACCCCGATGTGGCCCTCGGGCAAAAAAGTTTGCCCACTCCTGGCTTACACCCAGCTCCCTAGACTTGCAAATACAACCTAAGTCTCATGGACACCTCAGCCTTTGTCAGGTGTACCCTATCACCTCAAGGTACCTTCTCCCATGCATAGGAAAAAATGATTTACTTCATGGGCCACATCCTCCAGGTCCCTGTCCATCTCGGACAACAGATGCTAAATTTTTCTAGCACTACTCCATTAATACAGGGCAAACCATTAATATCCAGCTACATAAAGGCCAAATCATTCAAACCTGGGTGCCTAAAGGTAGGCCTCCAAATTCATATTTAGGCACCTAGTTATGGGCATCTGACTTTCACAGGTACTGAGCAACCCCAGCTCCCATTGCTATTAACTCCAATGAAAGGAGGGTCTTAAGGGGGGGTCGTATATACTGTTCCATTTAGGCCCATTAGGCAAGTGGACTGATTTATTTCTGTTACAGTTCAATAGACCAGTTTTTATTACAATTAGTTCCACTCTCACCTAAATATTACAAAGCTGGGCACGTTCATTGTAAGGGGCTTGATTTTCCTTGTACACAAGGGCAAAACAG